TCTCAGCACCGCCAGGATGTCGCCCTTGGCAAAGCCCAGCTCCTCCGCAATGGCCGCTTGGTACATGTACATCGCTTTCGCTGTTTCATCATGACCGTTAGCATCCCAATCTCTCCAATCATTGGCTTGCTATAGTGATGGAAAATAAAGAAAAGAAAACTCACCAAAATGAAGAATAACCCTCCCATCCCTTGTATACTGCCCCTGTCCACCTCCCGGTGGTGCCCCTCCTCGTGCCGCATCCACCACACTCCTACTCCTCCCGCGACCATGCACCGTTCCGCCGCCGCCCGCCATCATCGAAGCCGGTACCATCTGTCCATCACCGTAGAAACTCATCCTCGTCCCCGTCATCGTCTCTCTATCTGGCCTACTAGATTGTGTGCCATACCGTCCGCGCATCGAGCTGCCGCTCGTGTACCCATCATCCGGCTGCCCTTGCCCACCCGGTCCGTAGTGCGCCAATTGCATATGGTTTTGTGTATGGTCGAGACTCGATCCCGGGCGGTTGACTCCGCTGGTAAAAGGCGAAGGAGACACAGACCGAGCCATGTCCACCGGTGACACGGCGCCGCTACCGCCACCAGCTTGGTACATGTTGGATGAAGACCCGCGGTAGTCCATGCTTCCGTGGCGTGTGTACTGCGTGTCTGAGCGACGAGGTTGTTGGCCTTGGGCCGGGATGCCCATGGGGCCCATGGATTGGGAGTGCGCGTGACGGCTGTTCATGCTCCCCGGGTTCGAGGAGCCGCCGTAGGGGTTAGGCGAGGCGGAGCGGTAGCCGCGATCGTCGGGCGCGTTGTTACCGGACCAGCTGCTGCCATAAGCGGCATGACTGCCGGGTCGAGGGGAGGCTGCACGAGAGCCAGGGCGGGGGCTGGCAGCGCGAGGGATCTCGGTGCTCCCGCCGCGGGAACGGCTTTGGTAGTTGGCGGAACCGGAACTGGACCGTTGGTCTCCTGCGCTGGAGCTGCCTCCGTTAGAGAACAGACTCCGCGTTTGGGCTTGGAATTTTTGGCTGGATTCCTTCATGGCTCGGCTGGTGACAGCGGGAGGCGGCACACCAAGACGCGAGACTGGTACCATGGCGCCTTGCATGCCGTCGTAAGATGGCGGAGGAGTGGCACGCGTGCCGTTGCTGGCGCCGGGGATAACGGGTGGCAAGCCCAAGTCACTGTTGCTTCGGCTGTGGTGCATGCTGTTAGAGCTGGCGTTGCGACCACCGGGGGAGACGTTGCCGGATTGCTGAGGACCGCCAGCACCAGGAGGAGCAGGAGTGGCGATTCCGTGGTAGTGGTCGGCTGACATGCGGACAGACATTTGCTTGTTCATCTCAGTCCGGCTCGTGCTGCTTTGGTTCCCAGTATTGCTGGTGACGCCCTTTAACTCGGCCAACGCCAAGGCAATGGGATCATCATCGGGTGCCGGTTGCTGCTGTTGCTGCTGCTGACCCTTCCGCTTGTCAAGCGCATCGACCGCAAATACGTTTCCGCCAATATTCAGAGCCAAGCTGGCATTAGCAGCAATGGGATCAGGGCTGACGGAACGTTCAATGCCGAGAGGTGTGTTGTTCTCCTTGGTGGGAATAGCATTAGTCCGGGGCGTCCTGTTGCCCATGCTACTACTCTGTCCACTCTGTCCTCCATACCAAGTCTGCCTGCTCCCACTGCTCCCAGTGGCCTGTTGCTGAAGTTCCTTGGTACTCCTCCTCCTGAACGGGCTATTGTTAGCGAAGAAACCACTCTTCCTCTTGGGCAATTCCTTCTTCTCGGGTGAGGCCGAGCCAGACTGTGCACCATTAGCGGGAACCAGATCGAGCGGGGTTTGCGGCGTCTGTGGTTGCTGCTGTTGTATTTGCTTAACAGGTGACATCGGTCCAGACTGTAGAAGCTGTTGTTGTAGCTCTTCCAACGTCGATTCGCTACTCTTGTCTCCTCTGCGAGAGGGACGGGCAGTAGTGCTGGTTGATGGCACTGCGTTAAAATCAAGATCAGAAGAAACTGGACCTGGGGGGCGACTGAGCAATGCCATGCCGTCCAGCGGGTGTGGACTATGCGGAATATGAGTAGAATCAGTTGCATCATACTCAGCGTTGTTGGCGGCGCGCGCATTCTGCGGAGCTCTTGCCACCTGCTGTTGCTGCCTCCGCTGTTCTTCGTGAAGGCTGTGCTGCGTAGTCCTCCTCTGCTGTAGCTGCGGTCTTTGTTGTACCAATTGTTGCTGCTGCTGCGGTGGCGCCGGTTGTTGTTGTTGTTGTTGTTGTTGTTGGGGAGGAGGGGCTTCAATCTGTTGTTGCTGAGGTGGCATCGTCAGTGCCGCTGCCGGAATGGTTGGAAGTTTGGACGGTGTGGCCGTGGTCTCGCGACTGCCGTTAACACCCACAGAGATATCATGGCCTAGCGTCTTCAACAAAGCATTGTTAGGATCATGGTGCGACTCGTATGTGCTAGGCTGTGGCGAGGACGAGCGGAATGCTGGGTTGATGCTCCTTGGGAACTGGGCTACCGAGAAGGCGTCGGAATCTGGCTCGACCGAGATCTCGGATTGCGCATCGACATCACCCCGGCAAAAGTTGATGTACTTGGGAGGATCCGGAATTTCCTGACCGGTGCCCTTCTCCTTGATGAAAGTAGCAATATCCTTCTCGACCTCCATCTTCTCCAGTGACAACCGGATCTTCTCGCACGAGGCGTCATCGCTGACGCAAACCGTGGAGGCAATGTTAGCAAAGGTCCAGAGACTGCTCTTGGTAAAATCCAGTCTCTCCTCCTCCAGGTCCTGGAACTTGTCAGCAGCGGCCTTCCATTCCTGGTTCCAGCGGGCGGTCGTCTTTTCGAGGGCCTTGACGGCAGCCTCGTAGTCGGCGTTGGAGCTGGCGAGGCTGATCTGTGTTTTTTCGAGTTTAGCCTTGTTCTTGCGTTCCTCCTGGCCCATGACCATGTGGCCCTGGGCGAGGTATCCCTTGATCTTGAGAGATTCTTGCTCATAGCGGTCTCTTGTTTTGTTCACAGCTTGGGTCTGCTGTACCTTGACTTTCAGCAACTTTTCGATGGTGTTCTGGACGATCTTGCGACGCTCCTTCATGGCGCCGGCGAAGGCAACGAGTGGTTCTTCGAGTTCGCTCCTCATCTGGACGGCAATGGCCTGGTGTTGCTTGCCCATGGATTCTACCTCTTGTCGGACGGTATCAAGGGAGAGTTTTAGGGTGCCAGTCTCTTGCGAACCGAGGGATTTGCGACTTAGATTGAGGAGCTGTCGGGAAAATTCCTCTTCGATCTTTGCCCGCGCTGTTGTGTAGGTAGTCAAGGTGTTAGTGCCTAGCTCTGTCCCGGGTTCCAGATGTTAACTTGTCTTGAGGCATACCTGTGTAAAAGCTCTTAAGCTCATCGCATGTCGTTTTGGCAGCGGACATCCGCTCGAGAAGAGGTTGAACACCCGCATCGTCCTTGCCCCAGAAGTTGTTGGCGACTGTATTTCAGTGTCAGTTCTTTCTGCCATCATCATTGATTCCCAGATGGTTGTCCGAGGAATGCTCACAGGATAGGGCCACAGCCGGCGCTTCGCTCGTGGCAGCCGGCATCGCGCCTCTATTTCACACGAAAAAAACAGGGCGCAGCTCGCGGGTATCTCTTTTGGTTTTGTTGGTGTTTGTTTTCTCTCCCGTCTCCCTATCGCACGCAACTCTATGCTTTATCGGTCTGCTTCTTTTGGCGGTGAAGAGTCCGTTCCTGCGTCTGGTGGTCTGGTACCTGCGTCTGGCGCAATTCCGAATCGTCGATCGTGGGCCGTCCAGACAGTCGTACACCAGGTACAATAGGTACACCTGGGCCTATCCACAGCGGGCCGTTGAGGCGCTTGTCGAGAAATGCCCAACCTCTTCGTGGACTCGTTTCTCTTGATTCCTGTCTTTTGGGCTTCGGTCGGTCCGATTCGTTGTGACGTCGATGTTGTTTCGTTTCCCTTTGCTGTCCAACGTTCTGCCGGCCAAGTCCCTAGATCCAAGTCCCAGGCAGTGTTCAGTAGTTGGTTGTCGGAACCTAAAATGCCCCCTGGCCCTGGTTTACCGTCGCTGTCGAATGCTCGCTCGCCCGCTGTTGATCCACGCTACAATGCGGTACTCCACCAATTCAATGTCAGCAGTCGAACCATGCAAATGTTGGGTGCCTGGCGTATGTTGACAGCGCCGTCTTGAAAAAGAAGAATGAATGATGAAATCGCGTCGCTGAGGAAAAGAAGGGGTTCGTTGTGCTGGCCGAAATAGCAAAAGCAAAAAAAAAGAGCAGGGTACTTACTTCGACACCTGGCTTACCATTTCAGAAACCATCCTCGACAGCTTCCAGGTGACTGACTGCCCGCTTCAGGTTCCTGCCAAGCACCAATTGGGTTGACAATTGTTGACTTTGCACTGGTTGCGGGGGGCAACAGGACGCTCTGCTTGGTTGAGCGGACCCACGCTTCCCTGGGAGTGTTCGTTTTGGGTTCCATCCAACGTCAGGGGGGTTGTTGATACTCCGTCCCTGAAAGGACAGCCCCTCCCCAGGCTCCCTGGTCTCTCCATCCCGTCTTTTGTACCTCTGTGCGGGACAGCGCCATGTCGTCGTTGTCGTCCAGTTGGGCTTTGGATGGTCCAAGTTTCGAATGCAGTTTCTGGAAGCAAGGTCATTTCGGCCATTACCAATGAGGGGATTGCCACAAGTGTCCGATATGGACCTTGATCGTTTCACGTCAGGTACCTTAGGCAGGTACGAAAACTCGGAATGGGGAACTGGGGGAATGGTTGCTTTTTCACATTATGCTTTTCCGGAAGCTCAGATGGGAAAGAGTCAATGCTGATGTCATCACCCCGGCTCGGAATGGTTTCTCGCGGAAACCTCATCCACCGGATACGATACAAGTACGCAGGTACACCAAAGGACACAACAATGAGCAAGACAGGACAGATTATCAGTGGGTGAAATCATAATACGATCCCAAGTCGATAGACGACAAGAAGAGAACCATCAAGTCTGCTCCGTTCGTCTCAAGTCCAAGATACTCTTCAACCTCAATGTCCCCTTTGCTCCCCATCCCCGCGGCCCGGCCTCGACATCCGGTCTAACAGCTACATACCACGCCCACGCCCTCTCATCCAGTTCAGCAGCCGTAAGATGGTCCCGCCAGCTATCAAACAACAACCTTAAAGCGCCCAGTAGCAGTCCTAGATTCTCCTCCCTCTCTGCTTCCAGCTGCTTTTGCGTCTTCCTGGTCTTTGTCTTCTTCTTTGCCGTCCCTCCTTCCTCAGTCTCCTCACCAGCATCAGCAGCCGAAGCAGTATGAAAGCTCCTCAACAGGTAATTCCTCGCCACTTCCGGTTTATGAATCTGTATCCCCACCACTCCGGTCCCATAGGTAGCCTTTTTGCCGCCCATAGACGTAGACGTAGACGTAGCCGAAGCCCCAGAACCCCCATTCTGCATCCCCTCAATATCCAACCCCCAAACCGCCTCCCCTCCCGCACTCAACACCTCCCCGCCCGCCTTCCTCCCTCTCTCATTCAGCGCAGCAGTCACCACATTCCTCATCAACCGCCACCGGTCGGGCCCGAGCATCGTCCCGCCGTACCAGCGCGTCATCACCACCAACGAATCCTCAATGTCCAGCTCGCGCAGGATGCGCAGCATCAAGTCGCCGGCGCCTTGCTCGCCGTCGTCAAAGGATCTCTCGATGATGCGGTCCGGCATCCTGGGGTCGCGGAGCCGGTAGGCCCACGCGTTGTGGGATGCTGATTCGAGGTTGGGGTGCTTGCGCATAAGGTTGTTCAGGAGGACTTTTTCTTGGGCTTGCTTGGTGATTTTTGTCGAGTGGGCGAGGAATTTGGAGTCTTTGGAGGTAACGGGAGGGCCGGAGGAGGACCAGTGGATGTCGTCTGGTTGAAAGAAGGGGTGGACGCTTTTGGGTGGTGGTGATTGTGATTTGACGTCTTCGTCTTTCGGCTCTGTTGATGGTGACTGCGCCGTTGTGGTCTGTTGATCTTCTGCGGCGGTACTTCCCTTTTCCTCCTCGTCCTTCCACTCATAACCCCCTCTCTTTAGCACGGGAACCTCCCTCCCCATCACTTTCACTCGTGGTTGGCCAGAACCGATCAACCCCTCTTCTTCGGCATTGGGCCCTTTGGCAGCCAGACCAATGCTCACAGCCTTTGAGCGCGAGTTGGCGCTGACTAGAGCTTGTCCCAGACTCAATCGAGAAGAAAGTGGTTGCTCAGGCCTTGTGTAGCGCAGTAGTTCGACGGCAAAGGCAAGAACGAGGGGGGCGCGGTTGGTCTCCAGGACGGTTTGCGAGATGAGCTCTTCGTCTAAGCAGATGGGAAGTTCGAGTGAGGCTTCCAGTTCTTGAGGTGTGAGCTCCTCGCCGAAAGCACGAGAAGGCATAAGTGGATTGTCGTCATGTCTGAGGCGCTTGGAAGGCAAGCTTGTGGTTGATAACGGGGCACCTCGCTTGGTACCCGCTGGGCCTCCGGCGCTGGTCCGCTTCATGGCTGCTTTGCAGGCATTCTGAAGAGACTTTGCTGTCTTTTCATCGTTCAAGGCTGTTTTGATGGTGTTTAGAGGAGCCTCGGCTATTTGTTGGATGCTAGTAATGTGTGAGTGACTGTCTGAAAGAAGTATGATATCATCCCGTGATGCTGGTTTGGTGGTGTGAGCATAGGAAACGTGAATATGGAAAATGCGACTGATCTACCTCCTGATATCAACTGCTTGTAGAGACTTGATCTGGGCCATGGCTTGAAGCATTGGAGTCTTGCGGCCAACCGTGAGGAGCCGCAGGAGCTCTTGGAGGTCTTGTTGTGCTGACATGGCAGCTGGTGTATTTCTTTGTACTTTTGCTTTCGATTATCCCTCTAGTGAAAACGCTGAATTTTGATACCAAATTAAGAGGAGAGAGAAGTGCAAGTGATTTGTTTGTTGTCAAGATGATGAGTGGCCAAGGTGGTGACGATCCGGGCATCTGGGACGAGATCGGGTGCACCCCCTGTTCCAATAGCGTCACTGCATGGCGCACTTTAGTGCACCGGCGGATGCTTGGCAGTCATTACAGAAAAATGTGGAGCCTCTCATCGACACCCAGAACGACTTTCGAAGCTTCCGAACCTGAGATCTTCTTCAACCTAAAACTCTGGGGCTTCGAGTACGGGAGCTAGCCTTTTGGGGAATAACGGCTGCTGAGGCTTGTGACTCTGAGACATGCAATAACGAACAGGAATACACTTTACTACCACCCTCACCAGCCCGAAGAGGAAACTTTGACCTCTCAAGCTCTTCCCTCTCAACTCACTCACACCACCAACCACCATGGCAACAAGGATACCACTCTCCCTTAGGGGAGCTTCCCAACGTTCATCTCACATCTTCCTTACAGCCAACCGCCTCACCCTCACCAGCAGAGCCTTCACAACTACCTCTCTCCTCGCCAAGTCCAAAAAGCTCCCTCCGCAACCCCCCAAGGCGTCCAAGCTATCCAGGCCATCCACAACCGCCCAACCAATCCCAGAAGTAACCCCCGAACCACAATCAGAAGAATCTCCCAAATCCAACTCCAACGCCCAGGACCTCGGCACCCTCCTCCAACAGCGCAGATGGCCCCTCCTCTTCTCCGGCCTCACCGCCCTGATCATGGGCGCCTACATCTCCATGCTCATCGCCTCTCTCTCTCGGGGTCCCGATGCCTGTTCCCACGTCGACCCCGCGACCGGCCAACTTCCCGTGACTGGCCGTCCGCGCGAGCTAGACTCTCTGACATCCAACCCCGTCGTCAATGACCGCATCCTGCGCGAGAAGGCCATGGCCTTTGACAACGGGCTCAACATGCCCGAGCGCGTCATGGGCATCCGGCTCCTAAGGAAATGGCTGGGCACCCGCGTAAAGGGCCACGTGCTGGAGGTGGCGGTCGGCACGGGCAGGAACCTGCAGTTTTACGACTGGACCGAGGTGGTCAAGGGGCCGGTTACCGGGCGGGAGTTGACGGCGGAGGAGGAGAAGGAGGAGGAAGAAAAGGCCAAGGAGAGGATCAGGAGCGTTTTGGATCAGGGAGGGAAAGATGAGGAGAAGAAAAGAGATAAGGATTGGGTGGAGAAGATGAAGATGCCGGGCGCGCTGGAGGGCGAGATGCTCACGTTCACGGGAGTGGATATTAGCGAGGGCATGATGGGCGTCGCGAGGCAGCGGTTGAGGGAAAATGTCCCTGGAGGAAAGCAGTTGGTGCCCAAGGGCGCGTTTTTGACGTCGAGGGAGGCAAGTGAGAGCAGGATTGGAGAGGGTAAGAGGGGTGAGGGGCAGGAGGTGCTGCTCAGTACCCTGGAGGATAGGATCAGGCTGGTGAGGGCGGATGCCGAGGCTAAGCTGCCTGAGGCGCCTGCTTATCCCGCGAGGGTTGGGGGTGAGGAGGAGGGCAAGTACGATACTGTCGTCCAGACCTTCGGCCTCTGCTCGGTTTCTAACCCGCTTGCTCTGCTGCAAAACATGGCGGGTGTAGTCAAGCCGGATACTGGACGCATCATTTTGCTGGAGCACGGAAAGGGTTGGTCGGATTGGATCAATGAGAAGCTGGATGCTTGGGCACCTCAGCACTTCAGCCGGTACGGCTGCTGGTGGAACAGGGATATTGAGAAGTTGGTAAAAGAGGCGGAGCAGAAGGTGCCCGGATTGGAGATTGTGAAGATCGAGAGACCTGGGTTCTTCCAGGCCGGCACTACTGTGTTGGTGCAGTTAAAGGTCAAAAGCCCAGGGAAGTAGAAGAAGAGACTACACGTCTCATAATCCCTCTGCATCATGGCTGTACCATTTCATGTATATATACGTGTATGTGTAGTGTTCCTGTATGTGTATGGGCCGAGTTCCGGTTGTTGCTGGTTTCAATCCACGGTACGAACGGCGTCAACCAGTTGCCCCCGTCCGCTGCGGCAAATACGTCGTACAAGCCGGAATTTAGAAGCATTCGGGCCTATTGATATTTAGGTACGAACTTGAGTCGGTCTTGCCGCAGTGTCCCTTCTGGGCGATTCGCACAATATCTCCACGTGGATCTTGCGAATCAGAGAAACCATCTTAAGATCAGCTTTTCTCATCTAGGCTTCCAGAGAGCACATTACAGAAAGTAAGAACTCCCCCATTTACATTCTTAGCGTCCGTACCCAATTCAATACGATCGAGACTCACATCGAACACGCGTGTGAACCTACCTATCATAGCAAGGGCAGCATAATCGATTCCTTGAAAATGTAAGGCACCCACCCAAATCTTGAACTGTCCCAAAGCCCATCTCGTCTCTCTCTCTCTCTCTCTACCAAAGATTTTACACGAAATACCTAGAGGTACCTACCTATCAATATCTATCTTCAGAGTGTAAAGCTCTCCCAATCAATACCAGTACGCAACACTCGAGCAGTCCTAAAAGGATCCTATCTTGGAATATAAACGGCTTTCCATGTTTTTCGAGACATGATACATCAAGTTTACTCTTTTGCAGCCACAACGATATCCGCCTACAGTTGATGACATCCCTTTTCCCTTCGTCTCTATCATGTTGACATGTGCATCTGCATTCCTGGGCTTAGACCAAGGCCCAAGTGCCCACCAAGTCGAGGTCGGGTGTATAGGATAGATAGGGGTAGTAAATCAGTGACTGACTCTATCTTCACCTTGTGCATGCTAGACACTAGTGACAAGAGTAACCATATGACAGGCTGAGTAGGCGAGGGGAATGGCGATGTATATTTTACTTTGGGGGATGAGTTCAGTTGTAGTGCAGCACCTCTTTCTTCTAAACGAGGTTGTAATTATTCCAGAGTCGGTTTGGTCTAGTTTGATCGGTATCAAAAAGGACATAGACAGATTTACATACGAACGATACACTAGACTTAGTCCTCGGGGGTAATTCGAAGTTTCTTGTAGGATTACCATCGTAACAAGCTACGTGAACTTGTTTGGTACTTACCTAGCTTTCTAGTATAGTTGTAAGAGGCGATACTCGAACCACGACATTGAATGACACCAAGCATCGTAGCATAGGACCGAAATGATGATACCTAGCATATGTTGAAACCAACCCTTCGATCTCTTGTCTCCCTCCACACACATAGAAAAGTATTTTATGTATCTTAGCATCTCCTCTCATCCCAGCCTTGTTAGTCCCAAGGTTACGATGTTCATTTCCACGACTTTCCCAAGTATACACATTCAGCCCTGCCTTGAAGCTTCCTATATGCTGCTTCCTGTCGTACTCGTCAAGTCTGTGGAACTCCAAATCCCATGCATCCTACGCATTGTATACTAATCATCTAATCATCAAGCCCCCCAGAATTTCAACCCCAATTTCGAGTTTGTACCTCAACGTATGCATGCATGTCAGATTTCGTCCAACCCACACCACACCACACCACACCCATCGTCAACGTTCCTTCTTTCACGATAAGATTTACTCAGTCTCCCGTCCCGTGTAAGTGATAAGATGGTAAATGGGCTAAAAACACTCACTCCATCGTGACTGGCTGCAACCGCTAGGTACACTACACACCAAAGGCAAATCAAAGACGGTATGATTTTTTTTTCTTTCTTTCTGGTTGCAACGTGCTGTTTTCCCCTCTTTCCCACTGTTAGATAGTTTCTACTGAATAGAGGGATTGATTGGTTGTATCATCATAGCGAGCGTAACAGTTTATAAGCCGTAAAGAATTAAGAGGAAGGGGGAGGTATTGGGGCTTGAGATGGAAAAAATAAGAATATAGAGAAAGAAGTTGGACAAAGTCACACCCACACACCCACGCACAACACACACACACACGGCTGGCTGAGATGTATTTACACTACAACAGGCTGAGACGGCTCGTATGTGAATGGGGTTGATTCTGATAGGACATATGATAGGAAAATTGTATGAGAGTGACATTTTTCTTTCTCTCTTCTCTTTTCTTTTTCCTTTTTTTTTCTTCTTTTTTTCTTTTCTTTCCCTTCTCCGAATGGCCCGAACAAAACGGAGGACTACATCTTTACTGGCTGGTTTCTTTCCTCATTGATGGGGATGACAGGATTGGTTGGGATGGATGGCTAAAGCTCGGATCGTTACCTAGGAGCGACGAGGGTTATGTAAACATTGATGGAGGGGTGAATCATTATGATACTGTTAATGTACTGGTACTGATACTGGTGCCGGTTTCGGTACCAGGAGCTTTAGTTTTGATCCTGTAATTTCTGGAATGACTCGATGGTGGTTGGTCCTTTTGAGGGTTGTTAAAGCAGGCTGGAGGAAGGTACAGTGGTGAGGTTGGCGAGCAGGCGAGGTAGGCACGTAGGGTCAAGGAGGGGTAGATAGAGGTAAGTAGAGGTACCTAGAGGTAGGTACAATGAAGAAGGAAAGAGGCTTGGGATATGGCAAGGAGGGGTGACTGGCCCGTTGGTGGCTTGAAGGCCCGAGGTTGGTTGTCCGTTTGTTACGTGGTGACGTTGGTTGTCGTTGCGGCTTTGGTAGCTCGGGAGGTGCCAATCAGACGGAACAATAACAGTTGACAAGAAGAAACTTGAAGCTTATTTGTGGTTAAAGTAAATGTAGCTTCTTGCATTGGTATCACTACCGGAGTGATGTAAAGAAACTTGAAGCGATCTTCTCTCAGACATGCAAGACATGGCAACTCAAACATATAGGAACTCAAACAGCTGTAAATACATTTTCTACATATATAGGGACTTCTGCTGCCTACTGGTGGATGCATGTACAATGTATCTCGCCCGGCCCACGTTCATCGCGATACTGGAACACAAGAAACAGGCAGATAGGGATTGTCGATGTCATTACCTAGTTGACCTGAACACACAGTTGTTTGATACGCCGGCTTTTAATTTGAACGTCAGATTCCTGTAGAACCACGGAACGCAGGCTGACTTGCAAACGAAATACTTTGCTGGTTGGCAGTGACCGAACCGTGAAGAGAGACAAACAACTTGACAGACGGCGGGAGCTGAGTCCTGTGACATGTGGATTCCCTTGTGAGATGGCTGATTGATAACGCATTGAACGCCTCGCATTTTACAGCGCGCGCGCGTAATGCATTTCCACTTTGCTGGCAGAAAGGGGTCCGTCGGATGTAAGTATCGATAGGTAGCGGATACTTTCAGACTGTTGAACGAACTGAAACTGAGGGAGATGGCTGATTGTGCCCGGCAGTGGTTGACTTCGTTGCAGTCGTGGAGCAGCGGCGGTTAGGTAAGGTAGTTTTTCTTCATTCTCGGCTCCTCTTGCCTGCTTCTGCGGGCTCTTCTTGCTGTAGTAGTGTAAAATTTCGTTCGGTCTTGTCTCCGTAATTCCATGACCCATGTGTGGGTGGAAAATCCAGACCCCCCTCTCCTCCCCTCGGGCCTTGACGGTACCTACAGTGCAACTGACTTTGATGCAAGGGCAAGAACGCGCAAATGAGGTGGGATTGTGGGAAAAGAGGGCCTGGCAACAGAGCCGCCGCGCCGTTGATTCTAGCTTCAACTTTGTTTTCTCGCTAGCCATGTGTCGTCAATGTTCCTTTTTTGGGTTCTGATTCTCATCCACAGATGACCGCAGATTCGGGACGGGATCGAGATGTCTGAACTCTTGAAGCGCTCGTTTGCTGGCTGTGGCCGCACAGACTGCAAGCGACGACCAGACGAAAGAGGGGTCCGACCAAAAGAAGCAACTCAGCGTGTGCTTGGAGAGCTTTGATTGGTGAGTATGAGTTTCCACCTGCAGACGGTTTTTCTCCGCTTTGGATCCGTTTGGACAGTGCGTTGAGTAAAAAGCTTACTAGATGCACCGTCAACTTTAGTTCCGTGTTCCAGTTCCCTTCCAGCTTTGAGACGCCTGGTTCCGTCATGCCTCGCAAAGCACGTGAGACGCCGGCACTGATGGGATCACTCTTTCATTTCAGGTTTACTATCATTTTGATGGGCCCTCGATAACGTTGTTCATCCGGTGGCATCATCAACCCTCCAGCGACGTCCAAGAGAAAACAATTGAAGAAGCGATACGCCGACGCTGGAGGCGGGGCTACACTAGATCGTGGTGAGATGAGGCAAATGAGGCGCAACCAGACGACGTAACCGTAGCAATGGACCCCTGGAAGATCAACCGACGGCAATCGTCGCAAACGACCGACATCGTGGGGCCGGGCTCTGGGGGCTGCTGAGTGAACCAGAGTTTGTGGCGACAGGACGGACAGAACTCAAAGAAGGACGAACGAGTCAACGATGATGGTCAGCAGCCTTCTGTTCCCGCTGTCCGGAACCCATATCAGCCTCCTCAATGCGCTGCAGCTCTCAGCTGATAGCGATGACAAAGCGTGGAATTGTTGAACTTTGCCATTGTGAACCACAACGAACTGGGGTATTATTAGCAGGTGGGTATCCAGCTTCTGCTTCTCTGTTGGCTGCCGTGCTGAAAACCTTACGCAGCAGTGCAGTTTTCGGAAAGACGGAGCGGAGAAATGCCATTTTTTCCTTCCAGGCACAGGCATCTGCCTTTTTTCCAATAATTTTTTTTTTTTTTTTTTTTTTTTCCTTCCCTTCTGTGTTCAGTGGGGCATCTTTGTTTTGGAATTGAGAACGGTTCCGAAAGAGGTGGGGTAACCTCGTGAATTTTCCGCTGAACGGTGCACTGCCATTCGACCAACTCGAGTGTAGCCAGCTTCGCGGAGATCCATTCTGGAAACCCACCTGCATTTGTTCATCTCCATCCAAAAAGGACCCAGAGAGGAGCCCGAAGACCCTGAAGAAAAAAAAAAAAAAAAAAAAGGAGGGAAGAGAAATGAGAAGGGCCAAGGAGCAAAAGCAGAAGGTGCAAGACCGGAATGGCTCGATTCTTTGTCTTCACCTCGGTTGAGCTGTCTCAACCCGGGAAAACTTTAAATCACTACATCAACTTGAACCAACCTCTGAAATGTCACAACTGGCTTTCATGAGGTGGGGGTTTCGTTGTCGTCACTGATCAACACTGTCAGTGTAGGGTAATAATGGCCGATCTGTTTTGATAGTTGCGGCTGCTGTATGGTGACGATGGAGAGCCACTGCAAAGCATCATTTCTGAGGGGTTTACTGAACATACTTTTCCCAGTCTTTGGGAATGTCGTCAGGTCTTGTCATGTCTGCCAGAGTCTCTTCGCTTCGGCTTCTCTATCCTCTGGTACGTTCGCCGTGCTCGCGGATCCTTCGGATTGGCTTTTAACTTTGTGCAATGCCATTGGTAGTAGAGAGCGTGCCGCCACTCCGCCAGCCAATCGTGGACCCCAGAATTCCAGATCGGATCTAGTTCATCGTGGGTCAAGGTTCAACGTTGGCGTGCGGTCGTGCCGTCTGCCTGTTTTTGGCTCCCATCCATGGATTGAAGTGGTTTGAGATGTGGTCATGCTATGCTGGTGTTGTTCGGTGCTATCATGTTTGTAGCTAGACAGCTGTATGTGTTGTTCAGTGTATTTCCTTGTCGGAGCGGGCAATCGCGCTTACATTCCCGTCATACGAGTTCGATGTGATTTCTGGTAAACGATTGACATTTTCATTTTCCTTCTTCGGTAGAGGTGCAAGTCGCGTTGCTTTCGGTTATGTACCTACTCTGCAGCGCTTTCAAACACTGGCAGCTGCTGTTGCTCCTCTTTCTCCCGCGTGCCTTTCGACGTAACTTTCCGCTCTTCTGCTGCAACCTCTCAATGCTGCAGTGGGTGCTGTGCTGCTTCTCACCAGCTGCTGCCAGTTACGAGTACCAGTTGCATTGGATCTATTACGCGTGTAGGGTACACTCGGCAGGTTGACCCCACACTGCTTAAGTCCAAAAATCCACATCCACATTGCCTGTCTGTGGATCCTTACCGCCTTTTCGAGGAAAAATGGTGTACTTTCATTGGCGGATCTGATGTGTTTAGCCCTCACTTCTCCAAACTACCTAGGTTCTTAAGCTTGGTCGTTCTTGGCTTAGGTAGGTTCAACGCCAACAGACACACCCCCTCCCCCTGTCCTGTCGAGTGTCCATGCCCCTCTGTCCACGGCAGTCTAGGTGAGTCTTAGCTGCTGTCTCGAGTCGCCAGCCAGTCGCCCCCTTCCATCATCGCAAGATGGGTTGCACTCCGTCCCGCACGGCACAGCTTGAATCCCACTGTA